TAGATACGATGCCCTTGAAGACCGAATACGGTGCAAGGCTGAATACTTCCTGCAAAAGCCAATGATGATCGCTGCCATCTTTGATTCTTGTCACCAAGTGTCGACTTGTTGATCTTGTCCATTTGATCGGCACAGCTCAGGTTGCATCTGAGCATTCGTCGTCTGCAGTCGCCAGCTGCTCATTCTGAGACTCAAGCAAGGCAGAATTGCAAGGTCTCGTCATGGGCGGCTCAAACGAACAGGCGAACTTGGAGCACGGAAATACTGCAAAGAGTGCAAATCAATTGTGCTGCTGGGGCCTGGTGCAACACCTGGGATACTAGACCTCGGCTTCAGCACGACAAATGATGCTTATGCTTATGCTGGAGAATTATGCGGTGCTGTCGATCCCGGGTGAAGCAGTCCGCAGGAGCCAGTCACGCAACTTCGCGACCGTTGCTGCACTGCTGTGCAACTCGAGGGGTCGGAACGTGCGAACGACTCGAGCATCAGTCCCACTAGCAATCACGGATCCAATATGACTATAAGGACACCAAGTTTGAGTGTCCTCGGAGAGCCACGCATCCGACAGGACCTCGGGAGGGATCGGAAGGCATGCGCCGTCGTCTGAATGCTGGGCCTGCTTTGGGGCTTTGGGCCAGAAGATCGGGACTTACTGACTTACTGGAGCAGGCTTGCTGACAATGCTTAGAACTCCAGGCACCCGGGCTTGGCCGCTGCTTGTCACGCCACCAAAGATAGCCAGCTGCCCCCGAAAGGGCATCACCTCACACTGACAAGCTTTCAAGACAAATCTGCACCCTGCACCCTTGACGCAGGCTGCAGCCCACCTGATGAAGTGATCGCTCAGACCACGGGGCTCCCTGGAAGTGCTTCCAGGGAGACTCCTCCTTCGGCTCCGCTACTGCAGTCGTTGCCATGTTGGACTTCCTTCTGCCACCGCCACCGGTGCCGCCCCCGCCAGATTTGCTTGGCCAGACTTCGTGGGTCATGATCCAGCAATCGTTGAAGGAACGCTGCTCATCGGCACCGCCAGTTAGCCAGATCTCGTCGCGGAATTGGGTCAAAGCGAAATTCCAGCGAGGGCTGCACGGAAGCGGGTCCAGCTCAAACCAAGAGAAGCCACCCGAATCCGAGGCCCAAACATCCTTGCAGGCCTTGTTGCCGGCAGCATTGCCACCCATCAGCACTAGGTGAGGCGTGGGCACCTCCTTCACTTGCAGAGGCACCACCACTGCCCGGTGTCCGTATCGAGCAGACCACCGTGGACAGGGAAGCTCCTGCCAGGTCTCACCTTGATCCGAAGACTGCCAGCCATCGCGGAGGCGCCGATCCTCATCCCCAACACCTCCCAGGAGAATCAGCTTATCCTCCCAGCAAACAACCTGATGACCACTGCGTGCTGGCCACGCAGGCGTGGGCAGCTCTTCCCACGTCTGGCCATTATCCTGCGACACCCAGGCGTCCTGCAACGGCTTCAGCTTCTCTGTGCTTTGCCCGCCAAAGACGAAGATGCGATTCTTCTCACGCACGACCTGGTGGCCTGAGCGAGCAGGCCAGGGAGGTGCTTTGGCCCGCTCCCAGGCACTGGCCGGTGCCAGGTGCCGGCAGGAGGCGAAGTGCTGCTGCAGAGCATCGGTGGCTGTCACGTGCTGCGACAGTTCGGCCATGGACATGCGCACAGGAAAGCGGAAGATATCCTGGTGCCACACCTGTGAGGTCACCAGCTCTGCCATGATGCCCACGGAGATCGACCTCTTTCCGGCACCAAGGCCACCTGTGATGACCAGCCTTCTCTTTTGCTCCAACTCCTTCCGCACCAAGTAGCCCATGGTGCTTTCTAGAGCCTGCATTGTCTTGGGTGCTTCCTTCTTCGGGTCCCCAGGCTGTTCAGGGTCCAGAACATCCGAAGCTGCGGCGTCCTCGGTCTTGGCATCCTCCGGCAGGTGCTCTCCCGTGGGCGCCGTCGGCCCTGCGCTTTCGGTGCCTTCGCCGTTCGCTGCGCTTGGAGCCGTGTCTCCCAAGATCTCCCAGGGCAAGTCGTCTGCATGGATGGATCTGAGCTGCTTCGTGACAGGATCTGTTGACCAGCATTCATCCAGTCCGAAGCGGATCATGTGCACCTGTGCCGCTGCCCCTTCGCTGTCCAGCCCCCCATCCTCTGGTGCACGCCACAGCTTGTATCTGTCTGAAAGCCAGCTTGGCTCCTCGATCTTGCCAGACACCACGCCTAATCTCGCTGCAAAGCAGACGCTGGCCCACAGAGCCAGCCGCTTGCGCTCAGGGAAGAAGCGTGTGCGTGCCGATGGTACCATCTCAATAGCAGTGTCGAGCAAAGCCCAAAGCATCTGAAGGCCAGGCTTCCCCAAAACAGCGGGCTTTCCACTGGAAGAAGTACGTTTCAGTGTAGTGTGCCAGCGCAAGCATCGGCAGACCCGCCGCACGAAGGACCACACAAAACGAACATGTAAGCTCGCCTCCGCAGGTGGCGCGGGGGGCGCCAAATGGTCGATGTTGTCTTCGGGAATGCCTTGAACATGCGAAGCAACAGATTCATCAAATCACTGCACTGGCATGGGCGGATGGCGACCACTTTGCATGCCAAGGAGCTTGCCAAAACCATGCACAACTCACGCAGATGCTTCTGATCCGCTGCAGTTTCCAGAGGTGCGAACAGCAATACTCCTGACCTGACAGTCACCGGAAGCAGCAGCACTGCGGGAAAGAGAGGGGTGACGGAAAGAGAGTAAAGTGACTGGTGCGTGAACGAAGGGGTTTTAAGACGGGGCTGCCGACGGTCCTGCCCAAAGCTGGGACACATCTCGAGGAGAGACATGAATGCCCTACAATCTTCAGAAGCGGTTGTCGTTCCTCTGCAGTCTAGAACCTGGATCAACGACCGATGACTGAATGGTAAATGCCGTGTTGAATGAAGGGGTGACTGTATTTAGTTCTGCAGACAAAAAACCTGAGTATACGACAAAGAGAGAAGGGGCAGCAGAAGGAGAGACAGGTGGAAGACACAGTGGGGGGAGGGAGGAGGGGGGACGAGAAGACGGAGGGAGGGAGGGAGGGAGGGAGGGAGGGAGGGAGGGAGGGAGGGAGGGAGGGGGGGGGG